TTGAGAGAGAGAGAGAGAGAGAGAATGAGAGAGAGAGAGACAGACAAAGCTCAATTGGGGGAGGGGCAGAGAGAAACGGGAAGACACGGAGTCCAAAGCAGGCTCCAGGCTCTGAACTGTCAGCACAGAGCCTGATGCGGGGCTCGAACTCACCAACTGTGAGATCATGACCTGAGCTGAAGTCGGATGCTTAACCAACTGAGCCACTCAGGCACCCCTGTTATTACAGATTTTTGATCCTAATCCTTTGAAAAGGTTTATGAAAGGAAAGAGTGCCTGCTGAGAAATGACCAGTGAGTTTGAACAATTTTATTCCCACCCAACTCATTACAGAATGTACAGGTTTTTGGCAGTACATTTTATGAAGGTCCAAAGGAATGCATAATAATAAATAATTGTCACTGAGTTTTTTTTAACACATGACAAAATAGCAAATACTGGTTTGAAGAATAGTGTCAGAGAATTTTGATTGTGCAGAATTATTTTCAGAGTTGTTGCTGAAATTACCTTACAGCCTGAGGGGTATTTTACCCCACTAGGAAACTGTTTTTTCTGTTTTTGCTTATAATTTTAGTTACTGCCCAACTGGTGGCATAGTGTCTATATTCACTTGCTGTGATGATAGGTTCCTCAGCCAGTGTTTTCAAGCATGTGAAAACAGGTAAAATATCTTTTAGAGTTTACTTAATGTGCAGTTATTTGCATTACCTTTGGACCATTTGTTTTTACATGTTATTTTCTAACTTCCCTTTAGATTTAAACACATTTTTCAAACATACTAACAAATATACTTATTCATATAATCATAATGAAAATAGCGGACACTTGACAACAATGCAAATTAGAAATAGAAAGCACTTTCTGAATTATGGGTGTTAATAATTATTTAAACAGCCTGTATTAAAAAAAAAAGTTTGTATTGAGAGAGAGTGGGGAAGGGTCAGAAAGAGAGATTGGGAGAGAGAGAATCTCAAGCAGGTTCCTCACTGCCAGTGAAGAGCCTGAGGCAGGGCTTGAACTCAACCAACTGTGAAATCATGACATGAGCTAAAATCAGGAGTTGGACTCTGAAACGACTGAGCCACCCAGGTACCCTTAAACAGCTTGTATGTATTTAAAGTTATTAAGGGGCTTTTGTGGAAGATGGCGGTGTAGGAGGATGCTGGGCTCACCGCGCGTCCTGCTGATCACTTAGATTCCACCTACACCTGCCTAAATAACCCAGAAAACAGCCAGAGGATTAGCAGAACGGAGTCTCCGGAGCCAAGCGCAGATGAGAGGCCCACGGAAGAGGGTAGGAAGGGCGGCGAGGTGGCGCGCTCCACGGACTGGCGGGAGGGAGCCAGGGTGTAGGGGCGGCCCGCCGGCCAAGTAGAGCCCCCGAGTCTGACTTGCAAAAGCGGAGGGGCTGGACAGAGTGTGTTCCGATAGCAAGCAGGACTTGGCATCTGGAAGGTTATAACCTAACAGCTCTGCTTGGAGAACCGGAGGGCTGGAGGACAATGGGAGGGAGGGTTGTTGAGCCCCTTGGTGGGAACAAAGGTGCTCTCCAGCGCCATCTCCTTCACCCATCCCCCAGCCAAAGTCCCAAAGGGAAACAGTTCCTGCCAGTGAACTTGCTTGCACCGCGCAAACACCCAACTCTGTGCTTCTGAAGATCCATCCCTCTGGCGGGTCTGACTCCCTTCCGGAGCACACAGGGCCC